ATATTTTTTTCATGTGGATTTGAGCAATGAGTTGATAAAAAGGTTTATTTTACTCCCCTGCAGTATGTTTGAATGATGCGAAATATTTTTGGTCAATCCTCAGACCGGTTCTGAAAAATCACATAGTGACCAATGCAACAAAATTCCGTTGATCCACCGAATTTCTACCGTTCTGGCGCGAAAACAGTGTTCATTTCGTGTGAGCTCTGCCTTGTGCGCGCAACTTTGGCAAATAGGTACTGAGTAAAGAAACAGTGATCACGAATGTGCTCATTAGAGACAAACATTGAGGGCCAATGGGAGGTTTTGGTGAATTTATTCTCGAGCCTGTACAATCACACTTATATCACACAAAATCCTGTAATTGGAACCGGTCGGACTTCCAAGGATCATGCACAGGCCACATTAGACGCTTTATAAACAGGCCCGGAGAAGATGAAGTGGGGCGTGGCGAAGCACGCTCTGATCTCCGGATTAGACACCCAAGATGATTGCTTGGAGGCGGAGCGACGTTTCAGGACAGTGGAACTCTGGGTGTGGACCACTCATCCGAAATAGCTGCTCGCCGGGGGATCTGGGGAATAAAGCATAGATAATAAATGCAGGACAATCCATGGATGCGTTCAGCCTGGTGGATGTGCTGAAGGAGTTCACTGACATAAAATTACGAATGTTCACGCACTTCACGGGTCAAAAAGCGAGTCAACAGGAGTAACGGCGACATTGAAGAAGAAGAGAAGGTGGCGGTCGTCATGTAAGAATACTACCAGAGAATCGCCGGAGGAAAATTGCTTCGTGACTAGTGTGCGAATAAACCCATGATTTCTGTTGAACCCCTCCCCGCGGTCAAGACAATTTCCGGAACGGATGATCGTCGTTCAGTCTACACCTATCTTGGGATTGGGGCTCGGGGAGAAGCATGCACGACTGACACTTGCACGGCACTTTCTTTGGTTTAATCCCGATGAACCGAAGTCTGGAATACAGTCCGAAATTAGACGTGGTAGCTGATCGGGCTATCCAGACTGTGAATCCAACAGTCTTTCATGGAACTGCGTATTGACTATTTCATATTACAAGTTTCGTTCTGTGTAACCCGAATTACCTCTGCCCATGTCGTTTATCCAAAAAAATTCTCAGTCAAGCATTGGACTTATCGAATCAAACAGTGCGTGGACATTAAATGCGGATGAATGAAGAGCATATTTTGCTTGCATCAGTCTGAGAGCTTGTCTTTGGTCTACGTTATTGATGAAAACTGGAGGTCCTTTGTCTGATTTCGGGGTGAACGGAAGAATTAGACAGATGAGAATCAGGGTTTTCCAAATGTATGCCAGATACATTTGGGTATGGTATCCTTAGAGAAAATCCACACAAGACAGTGGGGATTAGATCTGTGACGGGGACTTGATCTAGGCCCTCGTATCGGGGCTTCCGCAGATCTATCAATAAGGGTTTAAGAGTTTAAGTGTTTATCGTTTTGTTCGCTGAAGCGCTGGGTGATTGGCACGCCGTTCTGAATCGAGTCTTCGCTTCATGGTCTCAATGACCCAGGCAGAACGTGGGCTGGAAGGCACCGTATTGTCTGAAGCTGCATAGTTTTGACGGGCGGTAGCTGTCCACCGACCTTTAAAGATTGCTTCCAACATCTAGCGGGAGTTTCCTTCCGACAAAACTATTCCTCTTCGTGTTTATTCACAAAGTAGAGAGTATATAGGCTAAAAGAAGCAACTGACCACCAATCAGCTTTTCTGTTGAGACCATTCAGGTCACACTGGATCTGCGGTCGTGGGGGGACCAGCGTGTCACGCAAAACATCAAATCGCGTTACGGTGCTGTTTCGTTGTGATGGGCATTACACTAACCAGAATAAAAACATCACCGTTTCCATAGATCCTTACTGTGGATATCTCTTCGATAATGACAAAGTTATCTTCAGTTCCGTCATCAGCTTTGATATATCGGATGATCAAACCGAAATCGGATAGTTTGAGAACTCCATGGATTGTTGACCCGGTTAGAATTATGTATCATAGCGTTTAGTTGATCAGTGAGCCGGGCAATTAAATGCACTCATTCTGGTTCTTTCGTGAGCACACAATCCGGTCGTGCCATTTTTCACAGTTCATACATTTTGTCCACAGTTTAGTGTTTGTCTCATTCGTCCTTAGTGCCCTTAATCGCTACTGACCAGCCAAAGCCAAAGCGGCTGTGGGAAACCATGCTGTTTGTCCCGTAGGCCCATCGGGACACAAGCTACCTTATTATATCAAGGTACTGTCCCGTCCTGCTATTACTCCCAAATATCAGGCCCAGTCGTTGTCATCATTCTTGTACTGCGAGATACAGTGGAGCGAACTTCATTGATCGCTACCAAGTTTACAGTATAATCAAAGTAAGTGAGCAAGTAGAAGATAGATAGGGCATTGGTCAAGTTGGATGGAGGTAAAGAAAGTGAACGTCTATGGCCGACGCAAAGAGTACACCTAACCATACATACAGACCCTTTCAAGCAGTCTGACCTGATAAGAAATGACAATAAGAACATCACTGCAGCCATATCTCAAACCAAACATTTACAGAGGTTTTCGGAGTGAAATCCGGAAGACGCGAGACAACCTGCTCGTAGCTCTGTACATTTCTTCATACCTCGTTTCCACTTGATTTCTTCCATCCTGGAGCCCCAACTGCAACTGATCACGGGCAATGAGTGTCCTAACCAGCGAAGCCTACTGATTTAGTTCTATGTAGTAGCGAATTTCCCACCGAATCATCGTTAATTACGCGACGACTTACCTCAGATATGTTCATACGCTCGCTCCATCCAACCTGCGCCAAAAGATGTAAATATCGACAGTCAAAGAATACTAGACGATGAATCTCTTTCATGTGCGCAAATTTTGGGTCTTGCAAGCCTAAATCAGAACTGACCCCAAACAGAGAACACAGAAATATGGCAATTAGTATTACCCTCATCTAATCCTGGTTCAAGCGCATTGTATAATAATGCAATGCATCCACCTGGGAACTAAGATGATATTACACCTCCACACAATCAATACAGATGAAAAATAATTAAGCACTTAGGTTGGGTATAAGAGAAAGAAAAACGGTACAATTTTCGATCCTTATCCCCTAATTTTTTCAGAGGTTTCGTTTAGCTTTGTTCATATGGTAACACGGTGACGGCGATGATCCTATACTGAGACAATCCGCCTGCAAACAATGGTTTTTTCGTGGTGGTGAATATATTATTGTCAGATAGAAGCCCTCAATTTCGTCAAACCTGACCGCCGATTGTCCACCCCGTACCCATCCAGTGAAGGAATGCCTACCGACTCCCGGATAGCCAACCACGCGTGGTTGTCCTCGTAGTGGTCACGCAGGACCGCTCATTGCATCAATCTGAATTGTGAAAATGTTCGGGATGAATTCTGACCGACTGCAGTCGGAAAAGCGAACAAACAAAGACCAAATAACTAACGAAATGAAAAGCATTATTCTTTTCCACCAACTTCACAGGGAAAACAATTCAAGCGGTTAAAATTCGCGTGTACCCTCCCGTTGCTTTCGAACCGGGTGGGGGCAATTTGTTCACATTCACATTGTCAAATGATTATAAACGATAAATCTAATCACAGCATTTCCAGTGGAGTATAGTGTCTGCATTCAGACAAGTGCCTGAAAAAAAACGGGGATAGGAGTGAACAGGATAAAAGCGAAGGCAGCTAGATTTATGCTCTCCATTCTAAAGTGAGAAGAAGCTGTAAGTCGAGAGAATTCGGTGGGTGTGCGTGAAAAATGAGGTTCGGTGGAAGGTTAACGGTGGGTGGGGGAAGGTTGACCAGGCTTTTGCATCCGAAGTAATAGCTCGGTGAGTGTGGATAGGCGGGTGGGAGGGATGAAGTAAATTAATACAGAGAAGAATTGAACGAACAGAGGGTCTCGAACGTAACACGGATGCGTCACAAATCAATAAGATCAGATGACCGCAAGAAACGAGATCATAGAAAAAAGAAATGGTCATGGAATGCCCAGATTATGTACACGGCTTAGCAGTTCAGATCAGTTGGTTTGTTAGCTTACGTTGAAGCATGATGTGAGAAGAGAGACAGATATGTGTATGTTTTGAAATACTTGCATGAGATGCACCGTAACTGTCCGTGTGCGTCTCGAATTATCAGGAACCGGATATTTAATGAGTATATACGTGCGAGAGAACACACGATAAAACTGGACGCCTGAAATGATGCGAGATTGCGGATCAGACAAGCACCGAGGAGACAGGTGGGAGCGGTTTATTATAATACATGATCACACTGCTGCAAAATTCACACCCAGGAACGAGATCAAACACTAACTGTGTGCACCGGGACCACAATCCTCATCTGTAGTGATAGTATTGAAGCAGGGAAGCAAATCTAGAGAAAAGACAAGGAGAGATGTGGATTGGACCGGGTGAACAGTAGGCAGACAATGGAGACTGAAGCCCAGTCACTCATACGTAGACAGTGCGATCACTATGGCAACGCAGCATGAGTAGAATAGAGTTCAGACATACTCTGCTATAAGACTGAGTAGGCTATCAGACAGTTAGCACTAACTAAAATATTTAGTAGTAAACGGCTCAAACTTGACAATACAAAATTTATATTCAATTTATGGAGCAACCTCGTTATTCAAAATAGATAGCAAAGGGAGAGAGAGAGAGCAAAATGTACAAAATCCAACCGGGTTATAACTCATACTCACTCGAAAATAGCTAAGCAACTTTGGTCGATTCAAATCGACCAATCGCTTGTTTTCGTACTTGTGGACTGCTGTTGGCACGTCCATCCGCAGACGCAGCACTGCGGTCCCGAGTGAATCGATTGGCCGGTTTGACAAAATCAACAATATCACGAACTAGTTTTGTGGTCGAAGCGTCTGCGCTCCGTTGTGCCTGTTCGCCAAGAAAAAGTAGGGTTGTGTACAGGTTACTTGTCCCACCTTCGACCGCTTCAGCGGCCAGTTGGGATCGGCAAAGCGGGTCGGAGANTGATGATGCGCAAAAGCAAGCGCAATCGTCGCCGAGATTGGGCGGCCTGTTTCAATCCGGGCGAGTCGGTGCATGAGGATTTCGAAGTTGTTGTGGTTGTGCCTGAACCATTGGCCTTGATGAAACCGGTTCCTGAAGTGGAACAACGTTCGTGTTGTAATTTCTGTTCCTCTTCGGCCAATCGTAACATGCCGAGAGACAAAGAGGCGGCTGCGGACGGGGTAAGCGCACTGCGTGAATACTCACCCCCATAGAGGGATGCAAAATTGGTTAGACCGGTGATAGCAGCTTCGCACAACTGGAAACAAATCTCTTCCTCAATCACACGACCGGCCGAATAAGAGGTCATACGCTCGGGAACATCCACAGATGAACTGTCCACCGACTTGGG